GTCACCAAAAGTGCATTATCTTTAAAAAAAAAACATGTAATCTGACTTTCTGAAGTTCTAATGGTGTCACTTGTAATTGGACTGTCCAAAAAATATTCAAGTGGTAAAGTGCCGCTGCTAGTGTGGCTTACATTAATGTATAATTAGTCAACTTAGCGACATTATTAATATGGAAATCTAAAAGGCCACTGGATGGCAGCAATAGATAAGAAATACACCATTAGAATGTTTTAGAAAGATGAGGTCATCTTAGAAGGAAGTGGAGACCATATCCAAAATAGGAGGAGACTGAGGGCTGTAAAATTCAATGTTGGCCAGCTTTCTTTCAGTTCTTCACACAAAGTTTAACACTGTTTATTTGGATCTCTTTGAGCTATCAACTAGCTAACTACACAGATTTTTTGATCTTGTCAATCACCAACACGGCAAGGCAAAATAAACATTTTTTGCACTTACCAGTTGTTGTTTTGTTGGGATCCTGTTTGTGACGCCATTTTTTTATGGAAATAAAGTAAACCAGGTTCAGGTGTGATGAAGACATTTCGGAGACTTAACATACAGTATCTCACAAAAGTGAGTACACCCCTCACATGTTTGCGAATATCTGATTATATCTTTTCATGAAGAAATGACACTTTGCTACAGTGTAGTAGTAGTGAGTAGTGAGTGTACAGTGTAAATCTTCTGTCCCCTCAAAATAACACATCACACAGCCATTAATGTCTAAACCGCTGGCAACAAAAGTGAGGACACTCCTAAGAGAAAATGTCCTAATTAGGCCCAATAAGCCATTTTCCCTCCCCAGTGTCATGTGACTCGTACAAGGTCTCATGTGTGAGTTGTTAAATTTGGTGTTATCGCAGTGGAAGTTCAACATGGCACCTCATGGCAAAGAACTCTGAGGATCTGAAAAAAATAATCGTTGCTCTACATAAAGATGGCCGAGACTATAAGAAGACTGCCAAGACCCTGTAACTGAGCTGCAGCATGGTGGCCAAGACCATACAGCGGTTCAACAGGACAGGTTCCACTCAGAACAGGCCTCGCCATGGTCGACCACAGAAGTTGAGTGCACGCGCTCAGCGTCATATCCAGAGGTTGTCTTTGGGAAATAAACATGATAACGACCCCAAACACACCTCCAAGACGACCGCTGCCTCGCTAAAGAAGCTGAGGGTAAAGGTGACGGACTGACCTGAACCCTACTGAGCATCTGTGGGGCTCCTCAAACAGAAGGTGGAGGAGCTCAAGGTCTCTAACATCCAGCAGCTCCGTGATGTCGTCATGGAGGAGAGGAAGTGGACTCCAGAGCCAACCTGTGAAGCTCTGCTGAACTCCAGGCCCAGGAGGGTTAAAGCAGCGCTGGAAAATAATGGTGGTCCCACAAAGTATTGACACTTTGGGCTCAATTTGGACATTTTCACTTAGGGGTGTCCTCACTTTTGTTGCCAGCGGTTTAGACATTAATGTGTGATGTGTTATTTTGAGGGGACAGCAAATTTACACTGTTATACAAACTGAACACTCACTACTTTACATTCTAGCAAAGAGTCATTTCTTCAGTGTTGTCACATAAAAAGATATAATCAAATGTTTACAAAAATGTGAGGGGTGTACTCACTTTTGTGAGATACTGTAGCGTTGTTTAGATCTACAGAGAATCAAGTGTCCAAATAAGGTTATTGTTCACCCCTCCATACATGTGTGAGGAGTCTATTGGTTATTGGTTCAAATTAAGATGTGAGAGATAAAAAGAAACTGCCAGTCAGAATATTGTTGATGTTTCAGAATATGTTAAGGGTGTCCATAAAAGCTGGACCCAAAAGCACGACAGAGCCAGATCACAGTTCACAGTTCAAGGGAGTTTATTGAGGAATAAACAGTTCGCTGGGGGCGAGGGAGTTGATCCAGGTCCAGATAGGGAAAGCTGAGTGAGGTGGTTGGGCTGAAGTAGTGAGGGAGAAGCAGGTGAGGTTCTGTGAGAACAAGGGAGAATTAACAAAGATTAGTAGAAGCGAGGGAAAGTCACAAACACGGGTTCCCTGCAAGAGCAGGCCAAGGTGTGTACCACAGAAGATACGCAGACAATCTGCCAAATACTGGTGTGCTGGACAGGGTAGATAACAGGCGCTTGATTGGAAACGAGGTGCAGGTGTGTGGAGACACAGTGCAGGAGCCAGGGAGGAAAACCACGCCCACCTGCAAACTAAGCAACTCACAGGGGAAAACAGACAGACAGGCACAATAGGATGGGGAAACAACAGAGAACAAAAGGTAAACAGAGGAGAGAGACCAATGGATACAACAGAATATGGTTCATGTTTATAATAAGGTATGAAGGACCCCGCAACTTTTTTACTTTATCTTTTTTTTTTTATTCAATTTGGAATTGTATTTTTTATATTTGTATATGTAGAAGGGTTCTTTTCTTGAATATGTTCCTATTGATGTGTGCTGCAGTGTTAGTTGATGCACAACAGTAGTAGGATATATTGGAATGCTCTGCACAGTTGTTACCACCAGGTAGCGTTGGTGAGTGAGAGGGAGGTGGTGGCAGTAGAAGGAGAGCTATTCTTCCTCTTTCTGTGTGTTGCTCCTCATTTTCATGAGGAGGAACAGCAAGAGGACGTTTTAGCGTCAGGCAGCCGAGAGCTTACAGACATGTTAAAAGTTGTTGTATACTGCTTGATGCTGTGGAATACGGGAATAAAACACAGCTACAAGTTTGTGCCTGTCTGTGTTTCACTATGCTTACCTGGATTACCCTAAAGTCACACTGTGTGTCATTCAAGCCACATGCAACACTTTAAACATAGAGCCAGTCAGTCTGTATGTAAGGAAACAAAACCTTGGGTCACCAAATGGACAACAGAGCTGCCTTATCAAGACAGCTGCATTAGTCAATTGACCAAGCAGGCGGAGAGGAGAGACAGAGTCTGACCTAGAGTTTTGGAGAGTCACTTTTGGCTTCCTTTAGCTCAGCAACCCTATCATGACCAGGTGCCTGCACCACTAAGCAGGATCTGAACTTATCCAGGTAACTTCGGGGTTAACCCTGGGTTTTCAGCACCACGACGGTGGTTCACTTCTTACCGGGGTAGATCTCCATGGTAACTTATGCTCCGGAGCAGGTTCTGTTCCAGATAAGAGATCAACTCTGTGAGAAACGCCTACTGACCAGTCAGCTCTCTTGGAAAATGACCTCAGCATCTGTAGGAAAATCCCACAGACTGTTTTATCCAACAGGCTGCTTTATGTTTGCAGCGGTGATGTGGAGAAACTCTTGACTATAGCGATATAATCCTACAGAGACTGATTAAAAGCCTCAGGCTATTGTTGCCTACAGGTTTTTACAGCAGGATCAGCCCACTTACTGCTTTGAAATGTGTTGAATATTTTTTTAATTGCTCCCAGTTTGTTTCACACAGACTGACGCAGCTGTTAAAATAAATAGGTTTTATTTTTCTTAAGTAAGGCTGAATATTATGAGCAGTTTGGTAGGGATACTGAAATACTAAATTTTAATATGAACGTAGGCTATTTATTTAGGTTAGTATAGCTTTCTACAGAGACTGTAGTCAAGTTCCGCCCCAGCTTTGCAATGTGGGCTCAAAAGGCGGGACGGTGAGTTTTCAGCAGCCTAAATGTTGAGATTCAGTCTTTCAACCACTATTTGAGCACATTTTATGGCATGAATGGAGTTTACGTTTCATTGCTTTATGAGGTTAATTTAGAACCTTGTTTGTTTTTGTATTATTGTCTCTTGGGTATTATTGTCTTTACACTTGTTAAAGCACTTTGTAACTTGTTTTTGAAAAGTGGTCTACAAATAAAGATTTTTATTATTATTATAACAATGTTTGGAACACTTTTGAGTGTGTTAAATAAATTAATCTAATTTTTGAAGTGAGGAGATGTTTTTTAAAGTGAGGTGGAACGACACAAATCTTTTAATGTGGAAACACAGCCGAGCTGAAAGAATAAGGCTGATATTTTCATACAGCTCATAAGAACACTTTAAATCATTGGAATATTATAGACTACGGCTGTTTATTCACACTGTCTGTGATTTTCTGTTTCCTGCATGTGTCAGCTGCAGCCGTGCTACTGTCATATTTCTGTAGTGTTACAGTTTAATCCTCGTTCGTAAAATATGACGCTCTGCTGACAGTGGACTTATTGGTCATCTGCTGCTAACTCCGCCTCTTTTATGTGAGCGCGCTCCCAGCTGGATTGGGAAACCCTGGGTTGACTTACCGAGTTGATAACCAGCTTCGTGGTACCGCTTATCCCGACCGCGATTGTTAGGGTTAGTGAAGTCAGATAACGAAAATATATCCTGGCTATGTTGAACTCACTTTGTGGTGCAGGCCCCAGGGGAAACTTGTCATTGTACCCCTATATTCCTTCACAGGCAGAGCAGACCTCTGTGAAGGTTTTGCTAATCGTACCACCTCAGTGACACATTGTCAGATCTTTCATTATAGTGAAAAACTCTATCTGCTTGTGTCTGGATTAGTTTTTTATTTTTATTATTCTGATCTGTTACTACTTACTTGATATGGTCCATGTTTTGTGTTGAGCATCTTGTGTTATGTCTGTTCCCCTCAGTAATCTGCCTGCCCGCCAGTCTCTCTGTTTTCCCTGCTGTCTCTCTGTCTCGTTAACCCTGATCCCTGTCACCTGTGTTGCTCCCGCTCTGCTCGTTAGTCCGTGTGTATAAATGTTTGGTGTTTCTGTTCATTCCCTGTCCGGTCATTGTAGCTTTTTATGACGCCACGCCACGCTTTTCTTGAGGCCCTTATGTTTGAATAGATGTGTTTTGTCATGATTTTTTGTAGCATGTTGTAAAATGTTGTGTTTATGCGTGGCTGCTACCTTGGCCTGATCTCTCTTGTAAAAGAGATTTTTGACCCTCATAACCTGTCAGTACAGCAGAACCAGCGATTAGTGACCATTAGAGGTACAGCAACTTCAGACTCTTAAGTTTGAACAGAAGACACAACTGACAACGTTTCATTTTGAAGTGCCTCAGCAAGCTTTATTTTGTGTGATTAATTCTGTGTGAGTGTCCCCGCTTGGTGCTCAGAGGGTCTTACTGATGGTCTCCTGGGAGGAGCTCACCACCTTTCCATCCACCACCTCCTCTACGATCTTAATTATTTTCTGTTTGGTGGTGGTGGAGGTGGTAGAGGTGGTGGATGAGATGGTCAAGCTGCAGGAGGGAGACAAACAGCACAGTCAGATTTATATTCATCTCACATTAATAGAATATTTAGTCACAGATGAGTTTGATTATAATTTCACATTTTCTGTACATATCTTTACAAGTTTTTCACAGGCTTACAAAGGTTGATATACAAAGAGTTTTGGACCCTGATTTGAGTGCATGTTCATGGAGCAGTAAAACTCTCAGCTGGAAACCTGAATAATCAGGTAAGAAATAGGAAGGAAATGTACTTTATCACTAGAAGGAAATTTTTTTCCATTCCTTTGATGTTTTGGGGCATTTTATTTTAATTAAATTTATGAAGGCTAATTCTACATTTTAGCAAAATACAATGTTTTGGTTTGAGCAAAGTAATGTATTTTGCAGGTAATAAAACCCAGGACTGAACCCCCAGAAGATCTGGCTTCTTCTGGCATAAAGTAAGATGTGATATCAGCTCACAATATCCTGTAAACCTTTAATTCTCCGATAACTAAGGCTCGCTCACCTGCCGCTGGCCTCTCCGTCCAGCAGCCTCCTGTACTCGACGATCTCCATCTCCAGCCTGGTCTTGATGTGCAACAGCATCTGGTACTCCTGGGACTGCCTCTCCAGCTCGGCCTTCAGCTGCGTCAGCTGATCCTCCAGCATGGTCACCTGGTTCTGGTAACCCGTCAGCTGCATGGTGTACCGGTTCTGAGTCTCATTCAGGGTGGCCTCCAACGACGCTTTCTGCAGGAGAGAGGAGCTGGATCAGGTTTATTGCCTCACAAAGACACTGGACATAAAAGATGTGATGAGACGTGATGTTCACCATGCTGAGCTGGGACTGCAGCTCGATCTCCAGGCTCTGCAGCGTTCGGCTGAGCTGTGTGGTCTCGGATTTGGACCACTGGAGGGTTTCTGTGCTGATAGCGACTTCTTTGTGAAGGTTTTCTGTCTGTAGAGGAAACAGCACGTTATTAACATGTTGACCTGATGATGGCGCTAGATGGAAAGTCTGAGGATCACCAAAGTTATTACAGTTCATCCTGAGGGGAGCATGAAGGTCTGAACCACATTTCATCACAATGTTTCAGTCTGAACTACAGGGGTGGACGGACAGACGTGAGTCCAAGAGTCTCTAGCGTGGCTAAAATCAGGTCCTTACCTTTGCATTGAACCACGCCTCCAGTTCTTTGCGGCTTTTGGCAACAGTGGCTTCGTAGTGCTTCCTGACCTCCTCTATGACCTTATTGAGGTCCTCTGCTGGAGCCGCATCCACCTCCACGTTCACCTGACCGCCCATCTGAGCTCGCATCGCCAGCAGCTCCTACAAGGTGACAGTGTTTAATATCATTTAGCCATTTTATTTACCCCAAAACTCTTTTAGACCTGAAAGCCCACTGACCTCCTCATGGTTCTTCTTGAGGAAGATCAGCTCCTCCTTCAGACCCTCGAGCTGCATCTCCAGGTCGGTCCGGCTCAGAGTCAGCTCATCCAGGACCCTCTTCAGACCGGCGATGTCGGCCTCCACCGACTGACGCATGATCAGCTCGTTCTCGTACCTGAAAAACACGACAGTGAGTTTAGAAAACTAACCTGGATGTTGACATGACTGGGAAGAACGAGATCACAAAAAGACATCTTCAATAGGATTATGTCATATTGCCGTTTTGATGCACGACTTGATGTTGGAGGAAACAAAGTCTCACACTCACTTGACTTTGAAGTCATCCGTTGCCAAGTTGGTGTTGTCGATGGCGAAGACGAGTATGGCGTTTCCATGAGCAGCGGACTGGATCTGAGCAGGAAGGAAGAGAGAAACTGTGAACTACTAGCAGTTTGGTTTCATTGGATTCATTCTGCTGTTTTAAATATGTAGAACAACCAAACACATTCAGTGGCTGCAACGAGCTCTGTGGCCACCAGGTGGGTTCAAAACCCAGAAAATTTCAAAGTTATTTTGTCATTTAAAAACCTAAAGAAACCTGAAAGTCATAAATTGAAGTTATATAAAGTTTAAACAATCAAAGTTTAAGATCTTTATTCTAAAAAGTGTCACAATCAACTTAGAATGACTAAAGTAATATTTACTAATTTTGTTTACTCTGTGAGTTTAGAAGCCCATGTGGACTTTGTTTAATCTCATCAGCACAAATCTTTTTCTTTTAAATATTTTTTTATGTTTTGCTTTCAACTCCTACTTTCAACTAAGATATTTTACAAAAAGACATGACCTCCTGACGTCACCTCTAACCCTGGTCAAATAATTTGATTGGTCGAACAGGTTGAGGTGTGCCTGCAAACACATGCTGCCTGAGAGGCTAAGTTCAGGGTAAAGTGGTCCCACTAGAATCTGCTCTTTTCTGCACAAACTGCAGATTTTCCGTCTTCCTGTTCTCACCTGGTCCTGCAGGTCTTTGATCTGGACGTTGAAGCTGCTGAAGTTGTGAGCCTCCGGCGCAGCTTTGCTCTCCAGGAACTTTCTGATCTTCAGCTCCAGCTCGGCGTTGGCCTTCTCCAGGCTGCGCACCTTCTCCAGGTAGGTGGCCAGGCGGGTGTTGAGGTTCTGCATGGTGGCCTTCTCGCTGACAGAGACGTCCATGGCGTCGCTCAGCTTGAAGGCACCGCCAGCACTGGAGGAGGAGAATGAGGCCTTGGAGATACGGACTCCAGATCCTCCAGCTCCTCCATACACGCTGCCGGCCCTCATGCTCCCCAGGCGGGACGAGGAGGACATGGAGGGGGCCATCATGACGGAGCTCCTCACGGGGGAGGACATGTAGCTGCTGCGGCTGGAGAAGGAGGTCATGGCTGAGGGTCGGCTGGTCGTCGGCTCTGAGCAGAGAGTGAAGAGCTGCTGGGATGTCGCCTGCTTTTATGCCTCAAAATGAGGTTGGGGGGGCGGTGTGGTAGGTCAGGTTGGGATGCCAAATATGCTGGGGTTGTCACATTATGGCCCCGGGGGCCCTAAAGGAAACAGGTCTGTGCTGAAGCTGAACTCCAGCAGGTCGGGTGGGCGCGACAGCTCTTTATACCTGGTGGTCTGGTCCTGTCAGTCCTGACATCCAGTCAGACCACAAACCCCTCCCAGGTCTGTCCACAGGGAGATTCGATGACAGCAGGAATGTCAGGAGGTTTAAAACCTGAAGTTAAAACGTTCCTTCATGACTTGAGAAAATGCTGCTGTGAGCACTTAAAGCAAAGAATGATTTGTACATCTCAGCTATTTTTTATACATTTAATTGGCATAAAGACTTGAAACTGTCCAGTGTTGAACATGATTTTATGTTACAATAATGTGATTTCCCCCTTTTTCCTGACTTATTCATGACTCCTCCGGTCTATCTGGCGACCCCTTTAAAGAAACGTTTGTCAATAATCAATAGTCAAAGTCAAGTCATTTTGTGTCAATAATTATATCTTTTACTTCTTTCCTTAAACATCTACCTTTCGACCTCTTTAGGGGTTTTTTAAATAGTAAGAAAAATGTACAGAGCTTGGTTGGTGGTTGTCAAACATTTCTCAGGTGGGGATTATGTAATGTTTTTGTACATGAAGGTACACAGAATTTTGGTTGGGTTCTAACACTAGAAAAAGTATTAGCATATAAATACAATATCAGAAGTTAAAGAATAATATTTAATATTGGATTATAATCACTGATGCATTCATTGGTTCATCACATTAAGATTAGAGCAGTCCCTCATTCATACATATTTGCTGCTATTACATTTTACTTTTTACTTTTTTTGCTCAACATCAACATTCCTCTGGGGAAATGCACCCCTGAATGATCCCAGATTACCAAGGAAAGTAGCATTGAACTATCTTGGTATGATGCATTGTTAAACTAGCAAACATCTGAAGTACGACCGTTTACCAAAACTGTCGTATCTTGTTTGTACCACCAGGGTTTGGACAAACTTAGTTTGAACCAACATGTTTCCAGGTGTGTTCGTTTGACTTTCACAGCACGAAACTCACAAAACGTTGTCATATTCTGCCTAAATATGTCAGTTGTGACCAATATAAAGTAACATTATTATGCTAACTTATTATTTAGGCTTTTCATATTATAGTCATACCGGCATTAACAAGAAAATAGTGTTAATGAAATAAACAATATAAATAATATATAACCTAATCATTTTATTTAACTTAAATATAGGCTATAACTTAGAAGAAAAAATTAAGAACTATTAGCGTTTACAAGACATTTAGTAAAATAGGTTTAATCTGCAAGTATCTACGGTTCAACATTTTAACACTATTATGAATCCCTTGGCCACAAATGATAACAAGGTAAAAGTGCTTTTATAACTACATTTAAAAAAAGCTTCACCTTAAATATGTTTGTCCAGCAGGATTATCTAACATTCCCTGCTTAAAACACATCCACCTCCACACTGCATTTTCTGCTATCTGTGATGTAGTCACCGTTAGCTAAGCTTCTAGCCACAGGTCAGGAGCTGTAGTTCCAACTATGCAACTTAACGACAGTTCGTTGGAACTATTGTTTCGGTGAACACCTGCATTGTTTAATTATGGTTTGTACCATGTAAGTTACCAACTTAGTTACCTCCGGAGTTGGAACCAAGGAAGTTGCTACCGTAGTTAGCAACAGTGCTTTTGGGAAACGCACCCCAGATCAGCTGTTACACAGGGTGTGGTTATTGACTCCTCTACACTGACTGAAGGCAGCTTCGTGATTCCCCTCTTGGGCAATCAGGCTGTGACAAAGCCCATTCTTGTAGGCATAACAGAGATGAGGAACTGCACATCAAGGGCCTTCTGGACCTTCCTCTTTCTGGTGCAACTCAAGCCTACCATCAATTTAAACCTAAACTAGATTATAACTCATCTGAAAGCCTTGTTCTTAGCGTTTCACATCCAACCTGGAAATCACTGCAGCCAATCCTGTTTGCTGTAGTGTACCACCCTCCTGGTCCATATTCCGAATTTTATCTGAAAATATTTCAATATTCATGGGGACGTTGACAATGATAGCTAAATTTAGTCCTTCCCAAACTGATCATCATGTTAATAGTCTTGCAGGCTCACTGCGAATGACACTTGACATTGTTGCATTACATTATATATATTGTATATATGTCAGGGAAACACTGGGGGATGTGTCATAGTGGGGAATTGAACTCGGGTCTCTCACACCAATGGTATGCGTCTATTATAAATAAAGATTATTATTATTCATTGCGCCATCACCACCCCGTTACTTGCCCCTCTAAAACAAAGAAGATAATAAAACAAATACGGTTTGGTCCATGGTTAGACCCCCAACTTGAAAATTAAAACATCGTGGAAACTTGAAAGGAAATGGCGTTCGACTAATCTTTTTTTTTATAAATTCACTACTATGATCTGGAGCTTTGGGGAGCCTGAGAGGGCCCCCGAGGCTGATATAGTGTAACCACAGCATTCTAGTTGTTGACAGACTGGTTAAACTGGGTGAGGCTGCAGACTGATATTTACATCTAACCCACCTGTGAAAGAAAATTCTTCCAAGAAAGAATTACAGAGTCGAAAATGTGATGAATCATGTTTTACACGGACGTCAGGAGAGACACAAAAATATCTCCCCTTACATCCTCTCCAGTACAGAAACAACAGCAAATGATAATCACACACAAATGTTGATTTTGTCCTTGGCTCTTCCGTCACAAAGACATGCAAATGTATGTATATAGCAAAGAATGTCGCCACTGCCCCTGTAGTGGCACCTATTTGTCTGCTAAAACCTCACCTCTGCAGACGGCTATTGGAAGAAAATGACTCTGATATTTAATCCCTGCTGCTATCTCTCAGGTGACTATTAAACGGATTTGTTCGAAACCTCTTTCCAAAGTTAAATACAATGAGTCCTGATCTACAATCTAAAATAATTATTTCTAACCCACCCTAACATTGTATTTCCACCAGTGTTAGTGTGAGCCGTGCAAATGACCAAATATGTGCAGAGAAATGATGGTGACTTGACCCCGTAGAGACGGCACACAGTGGATCGGTCTGACATCTGACCACATGAACTACAAAAAAGGTCAGTTATTACTCTTTGTGTTGGGAATTTTTAATTCATGTTTTTTTTATCTATAAACTTTCCCAGAACATTTTCAGATGTCTTTGCAATTGTTGTATGAGGTAGGAAACATGTGGAAGTTTAGTGAGGACGATTCTAAGTACTGCTCAGTCCATCTGCAACTTTCGGACATCAGTTACAGTCTGCACGAGAAAAGTGAGCTCCTGAATATATTGCTGTTCTGTAAGGACTGACAGCTCATGTGACTGATGTGATTTACATATTTCATGCTTGTATGTCTTATTGTTTATCCTCCAGTAAACATGTTAATACAGTCTGGTCTCAATAGTTAATCTCCCCAAACATGACAACTGTATGGTGGTAGAATTTCTATGTAACTCACCCGGTTTATATATTAAGGCTTAAAGTTCTGCATAATTGTGGACGCGGCTACTTTGAGTGACGGGTGGGTGCCCTCTTTGTGGCTTGGATTAACAGGGAGTTAGAGTCGTATGCAAAAGTTTAGGCATCCCTGACAATTTCCATTATTTTCATTTATAAATAATTGGGTGTTTGGATGATCAGCAGTTTCATTTTGAGCTATCAAATATCTGAAAGACAGTAAAATTTCAGTAATGAAATGAGGTTTATTGGAGGAACAGAAAATGTGCAATATGCATCGAAACGAAAGTAGACAGGTGCATAAATCTGGGCACCCCAACAGAAATATCACATGCGTTGTGGCGTGTGCAGAAAAGGCTTCTTCCACATCACTCTTCCGTACAGCTTCTCCTTGTGCAAAGTGCGCTGAATTGTTGAACGATGCACAGGTTTCCAAATCAACAAAATGACAAGGGTGTCCAAATTTATGCACCCGTCTACTTTCGTTTTGATACATATTGCACATTCTCTGTTCATCTAATGAACCTCATTTCACTACTGAAATATGACTATGTCTTTCAGTTATTTCAAAATGAAATTGCTGATCCAAACACCCAATTATTTATAAATGAAAGTCATAGAAACTGTCAGGGGTGCCTAAACTTTTGCATACGACTGTAGGTGAGTCAGGGCGATGTCCACACTAAGCTTCACAATTGCTCGTTAGAAACCTATGGTGATGTCTCCGACCCAAAGACCATGTTTTAGGTGCATCTAAAGTCTGTTATTTGTCATTTCCTCGCTTGAACCTCAAATTGTTCTGGTCCACCATCTTGCAGACCGTCCCAAAGCTTTTATTTGTGCACCGAGGAGCGAGGTGCGATCTCTGAGGTCTGATACTGACCGACACGCACCCCTCACTGGATGTCAGCTGATTTATACGCCATGACATATAAATATGTTGCGTCAAAATCTGGCGCATTTGAACGAGGTGGCAGATACACTGTAACTGTCTGTTACATGTGTCTTTGCGATGAATCGCTATCAGCATTGCTCTTTACCTACTGACAGGTCTGAAATGTGTCATTTAACAGAGACAAAAGAACACACAGCAAAGAAGGCCTTCGGAAGAGTTCAGTTAAGGCATAGTCTTATCCATTATTGTTAGTTATTGTTTTAATCATTTCTTTCTTGAAAGCATAAAAGAGAGTTTTATTTTTAGCAAAATCAATTCTTCATATTGATCCCCAAAGAAAACACAGCTGACCACTTCATGCAGCAGATCCTGATGTGCCGCCATATTCAGAAAAGGACGTTGCTTCACGTGACACTTTGTAGGGACACAAGTGAGGGAAACGTGGATGCAATTAAGAAACTTGGGATGCACCCATTCTGTTCTGTTTTATTGTTCCAGTTCTTAACCCCAAACATTAGTGTTAATTTCATGAAAGAATCATTTTGAAAATATGAATTCGTAACTGTAACTTAATCCTGCACCTCATAACCGTTCAGTCCAGCAGCAGCAGCCAGTGGCCATTAGAGGAAGTGCAACTTCAAACACAGAAGACACAGCAGACAGCGTTTTAGTTTGAAAAACCTCAGGAGACTTTTATGTGTTTTTTTTCCTGTTAAGAGTGCCCCCTGCTGGTGATCACAGAGTCTGATTGATGGTCTCCTGGGAGGAGCTCACCACCTTTCCATCCACCACCTCCTCGACGATGGTAATTATTTTCTGTGTGGTGGTGATGGTGGAGGAGGAAGTGGAGGATGAGGATGAGATGGTCAAGCTGCAGGAGGGAGACAAACAGAACAGTCAGATTTATATTTATCTCACATTAATAGAATATTTAGTCACAGATGGGTTTGATATTTTGTCTTTGGTGTCTCTCTTCTCACGGTGAAAAGCATCAGGAGCCACATTTAGGCTCAATTTAGGGTCAATGAGAAGTCTGAGCTGATGTTTAAAATACTTGTCCTTTGATGAACTTAGTGAATGTGCAAATACTTAGTTATATACTAAAAAATATAACTAATATTTGTAGACTAATTATACACTTTTTGTACACAATTATAAGGGTGATGTTACACAAAGACAGAAAAAATGTTGGTACAAATACAAATTTTAGCCGTACTTAGAGATGCACAGTCGGGGCTTCTAACATAAAGTAAGATGTGATATCAGCTCACAATATCCTGTAAACAACCCTTTAATTCTCAGATAACTAAAGCTCGCTCACCTGCCGCTGGCCTCTCCATCCAGCAGCCTCCTGTACTCGGCGATCTCCATCTCCAGCCTGGTCTTGATGTCCAGCAGCATCTGGTACTCCTGGGACTGCCTCTCCAGCTCGGCCTTCAGCTGCGTCAGCTGATCCTCCAGCATGGTCACCTGGTTCTGGTAACCCGTCAGCTGCATGGTGTACCGGTTCTGAGTCTCATTCAGGGTGGCCTCCAACGACGCTTTCTGCAGGAGAGAGGAGCTGGATCAGTTTTATTGCCTCACAAAGACACTGGACATAAAAGATGTGATGAGACGTGATGTTCACCATGCTGAGCTGGGACTGCAGCTCGATCTCCAGGCTCTGCAGCGTTCGGCTGAGCTGTGTGGTCTCGGATTTGGACCACTGGAGGGTTTCTGTGCTGATAGCGACTTCTTTGTGAAGGTCTTCTGTCTGTAGAGGAAACAGCACGTTATTAACATGTTGACCTGATGATGGCGCTAGATGGAAAGTCTGAGGATCACCAAAGTTATTACAGTTCATCCTGAGGGGAGCATGAAGGCCTGAACCACATTTCATCACAATGTTTCAGTCTGAACTACAGGGGTGGACGGACAGACGTGAGTCCAAGAGTCTCTAGCGTGGCTAAAATCAGGTCCTTACCTTTGCATTGAACCACGCCTCCAGTTCTTTGCGGCTTTTGGCAACAGTGGCTTCGTAGTGCTTCCTGACCTCCTCTATGACCTTATTGAGGTCCTCTGCTGGAGCCGCATCCACCTCCACGTTCACCTGACCGCCCATCTGAGCTCGCATCGCCAGCAGCTCCTACAAGGTGACAGTGTTTAATGTCATTTAGCCATTTTATTTACCCCAAAACTCTTTTAGACCTGAAAGCCCACTGACCTCCTGGTGGTTCTTCTTGAGGAAGATAAGCTCCTCCGTCATACTCTCCACCTGTATCTCCAGGTTAGCCCGGCTCAGAGTCATCTGGTCCAAGACCTTCCTCAGGCCACAAATGTCGGCCTCCACTGACTGACGCATGATCAGCTCGTTCTCGAACCTGAAAAATACGACAGTGAGTTCAGAAAACTCACCCGAATGTTGACATGACTGGGAAGAACGAGATCCCAAAAAGAAAAAAAACTTGAACTGTATTATTTTATGTTGCTGTCTTGACGCACGACTCGATTGGAGGAAACAAAGTCTCACACTCACTTGACTTTGAAGTCGTCCCTGGCCAAGTTGGCGTTGTCAATGGTGAGGACAAGGGCGGTATTTCCACGAGCAGCGGACTGGATCTGAGCAGGAAGGAAGAGAGAAATTGTGAACAACTGGAAGTTTTGCTAAAAGGCTTCATTGGATTCATCCAGCTGTTTTAAAGAACAAATCAACACATTCAGCGCACAGCTAATGTTGAGGTCTGCCTGCAAACACATGCTGCCTTAGAGGCTAAATTCAGGGCAAAGTGGTCCCACTAGAATCTGTTCTTTTCTGTACAAACTGCAGATTTTCCGTCTTCTTGTTCTCACCTGGTCCTGCAGGTCTTTGATCTGGACGTTGAAGCTGCTGAAGTTGTGAGCCTCCGGCGCAGCTTTGCTCTCCAGGAACTTTCTGATCTTCAGCTCCAGCTCGGCGTTGGCCTTCTCCAGGCTGCGCACCTTCTCCAGGTAGGTGGCCAGGCGGGTGTTGAGGTTCTGCATGGTGGCCTTCTCGCTGACAGAGACGTCCATGGTGTCGCTCAGCTTGAAGGCACCGCCAGCACTGGAGGAGGAGAATGAGGCCTTGGAGATACGGACTCCAGATCCTCCGGCTCCTCCGTACACGCTGCCGGCCCTCATGCTACCCATACAGGAGGAGGAGAACATGGAGGGGGCCATAATGACGGAGCTCCTCACGGGGGAGGACATGTAGCTGCTGCGGCTGGAGAAGGAGGTCATGGCTGAGGGTCGGCTGGTCGTCGGCTCTGAGCAGAGAGTGAAGAGCTGCTGGGATGTCGCCTGCTTTTATGCCTCAAAATGAGGTTGGGGGGGTGGTGTGGTAGGTCAGGTTGGGATGCCAAACAGGCCTGAGCTGCAGGTGGGCTCCAGCAGGTTGGGTGGGTTTTAACAGCTGGGATCTCAGGGGCCCAAAACTCTTTGTATCTGGTGGTCTGGTCCTGTCAGTCCTCTGCTGCTACTTCAGCTAAATAAACTATTTAAAAGCTTCACAAAGCTGAAAGTTAGCAGAAAAGTGAGCGTTTTGGTGACATAGTCTTCTCACTCTGACAGCTGCTCTTCCTTCTTTTTAAACATATTTTTCTGATTTGTGACCCCACAACTGAACAAATTAGGCTGATCAAAACTCTAATATTACTCTATGCTGTGAACACTTAAAGTGTAATGAAGAGTGATTTTTCCTTCTCAACATGTAATAATTAATACATATAATTGGCACAAAGACTTGAAACTGTCCACTGTTTCACAAGAAAATAGCAATGTTTTTTTACATAAGGTTACATAAAGTGATTCTCACTTATCAAATTATTATTTTGAATAAATGTTGTACCCTTAGGGATCAAGAAGAACAAGAGCACACAGTACACAAAAAGTGAAATAAAATTTCACAAAAAATACCACGCAATAATTTACAGTTTCTGTCTAAAACTTTCTGTATTTATCCAGTAAATATCATCAGTATGACAACGTTATATATAAAAATGAATTTAAATGTTTCTATAATTCCTTCTCAGGTCTAACCTGAACAATTAAAAAGGAAAGAAATATTTGATGTCATTAGTTGCATTTAACATTTACAATCGATTATAGACTGTATAAACATGATGTAAAAACATTAAAGCTCATTACAGAACAGAGATTCAACATATAAGTGAAACCTGAGCAGTTCACAACCGTCAATTCATCAAAAAATAACCAAATACAACAATAAATTTTCCCTCAGAGTAACTTTTATTCCTCTCCTCTTTAAGTGAAAGCAGCTCATTGATCAGCAGAATGTGAAACAGCATAAACAGTAAATAACAAAGGACACAACTTAATGTAAGGAGGGGTCATGTCGTACGGGGCGGCGCTGTTCACACACACCCATCAAATTCTGCATAAGTCTCAGTGGAGAAACAGGATTCTATTGGGAAGGGCCACAGTGAACTGTTATGGGCCCCCGGGGTAAAACCGTTTTTACTCCCTGAAATACTGATAAAATATGCTTAAACATTCAGGTCTACAACAATCTGAGAAGGAAAACTCACTTATTTTCCCACTGAGGCCAAAACGTATGATGAATTTTTTGAAGGTGAAACCAACAATGTTGGTAAAATAATAAAGAGCCACAAGGTCCTGTAATAAGAACCCATCTTCACTGTTTCTAATTTGCTTTTAGTGATTTTGCAAAAAACAACAAAAATATACTTAAGTAGTAAGTAGTGGCATAAAATTATACTTAAAGTACCAGTAAGTAAAAGTACTCATTATGGCCCATGTCAGAATAATATGGTATTGGATTATAAACACTGATGCATTCATTTGTTCATCACATTAATGTTGTAGCAGTCCCTCAGTCATAGGTATGTTTTTAAAAACATATTTTTGATATTTGTAGGTATCACTGGACTCCATGAATTCATTCGTTCATTGTGACTCAAACAGAACATTTGAAAACAGACGCCCCAGGTACCTGGGCAATGGTGCTCTGGGCGATATTACTGATACTATATTACTTTTTTTTTTTTCGCCGTTTTAACTCCGAAATCCGCCAGTGTTGTTGCTCCGAGTCTAAGCGGGCGTCATCTTGATTATTGCGCAATACCTGCAAGCTGCCTGCCTGCTGTCGTCTTTTCTGCAGAGAGGAAACATGCCGCTTGAGAACACATGGTGTTTTTTGCCATTTTGTGGCCGATCCGTTGGAGATATATAGACATGCAGGGTATCAAATGAAAGGTCTACTCAAGCCGGATCGATTGATGCCCCCCTCCCAATCACTGTGGGCCTGTAAAGCATGGGAGTGCTTTTGGTGACAGGAATGTTGATAATACTCCTGTTTTTATCAATATTTCAATGTTTTGTCATTTGGAACTTGGTTGTATGGACAGAAAAAGTGTTTTAACAGTGTTCAGCATTTTAACAATAAATATTGCCAAAATATGGAAATTCGCCTGGTATATTTCAAAAATGTTGTATGATAACTGTTGTATTTTAGTTTATTTTCATCGGATTTACAGTTACAATTGCATTCTAGGTGTATTAGAAGATATTCAGTTGCATTAAAAGCTAACTCAGGATGGTTTTGATGGTTTATTGCATTAAAATATAGCTTTTTTTTTTCCAGGAGAGGATAAAAATATCAGATTTTCAGATCTCCATGTAGTCTGTAAAAGTAAAATAAACATGTTAATATATGGATTTATACAATGGATTCATATTCCTTAGCTTCTGACTTTTCAAAGGAGACCAGAATTATGCATCTAGGCCAAATGGTTGAGGAGTTATTCCTGATTCATTCTGGGTTATTTTAGGCGTTCTTTCTGGAAAAAGGTTCCTGTTTTCAACAGGTTAATACTAAAGCCATGACTTTACTGTAGCGCCTCTCCTCTGGTCATTTCCTGCAACCAGATAGCCAGTACTATCACCAATGAACAAAGACCATCCACCATGTCATTTTTACATATTTGTTTACATTACAACAACATTGCTCTGTGGGACGGATTTACCGAATAAAGATTGCTAAATTGCGTGTGCATTCTAAAATATTGCACGTGCAATTTTAGTGCCTGTCATGGGTAATTAACTAAGAATTATTGCGTAGATGACAACAGGAGCAAACACAATGGAGGTGGCAGTATTTAAATGAGAGTTTTGCGTGTTTTAATGGTTTCAGCCATGGAGAGTTGGGAGGGAAAGCAGCCACTGTGTAAAAACCTCGGTTTGTTTCATTCAGTGCGTCCCGAGTATCAAACCTACTGGGCAATAAACCAATTTATGATCCTGATAAAAAATATAATGCAGTATTTTTAAGCAGAATGATTTGAAGTTGAGTGTTGTCTACTTTATAAAGAGTACAGATACTGGTACACAGAAAACACACACGTTTCAGTTCATCAGAAGTATTTTATTTGTGTATTTCTGAGAACGGTTGGCAGCAGCGTGTTGACACATCACTTAATCTCCATTGATTGAGAATGGATCTCTCCATCTTCTGTGATGTCTTTGGTGACTATCATTACTTTACGTGTTATGCTTGTAGTGGAGGATGACGTGCTACAGAAAACAAACAAACAAGAGTCCTGTTAGATGTCTTTGCTCTAAACAGGCTAACAAAGCTTCATGCAGTGGTATTTATTCTTTTGAAAACTGTTCACCAAACGATAATGAAAATCCATGCATTGCATATACCATTTCATGGATGACTGATACTGATACATATGCATGGATGTTTCTATATTTACACTTTCAAACTTATTAATAGTCTAATTACTTAAATGTTCATGCTTTGCCTTCATGTCTGAATTTTATTTTTCAAAAATGTTTTTTGACCTTTGATACATTGATTTACATATCATTTACAGAATTATATTTCTCACTGGTTTTCTACCTGCTCTCTAGAGACAACCAGGGTCAGGGTAGTATTAGTTGTTTTGAAAAATTTATATAAGTACTTATTTTATTATTATTATAATTAGTTGACTCACTTGGACAGCTCTCCATCCAGTAGCCTCCTGTATTCAGCAATCTCAAGCTCCAGCCTGGTCTTCATGTCCAGCAGCACCTGGTATTCATGTCCCTGACGCTCCAGGTCAGCCCTCAGCTGGGCCAGCTGATTCTCCAGGGCAGTTACCTGCCTCTGGTATCCTGCCAGCATGTTGCTGTACCGGTTCTGGGCTTCAGCAAGGGTTGTTTCCAGAGAGGATTTCTGAAGGGGTAAAGAAACAGTGTGAGGAGATTTACAGAATTTGTTGATTCACATGGAAAAAGACCAGTAGGCAGTAGAAACCCACCATGCTGAGCTGTGATTGGAGCTCGATCTCCAGGCCCTGCAGCGAGCGTTTGACCTCTGTGACCTCAGAACGTGTTGACTGAAGAGTCTCTGTGCTCATGGCAACTTCCTTATTGAGCTCTTCAGACTACAAAAGACAAAGAAAAGTGTCAGAAATCGTGTCTGTGGGAGATCAAAGATAAGCATGTATGCAGATGACACTCTACTGTTTCACTTTTTTCACTTTTCACCAGGTTTTTATTGCTCACTGTACTTATTTAACTGACCTAATAGTACTAAATGGACTTATTCAGTTTTATAAATGCTCACATTGTCTTCAGTTTGGCCTGTAGTGATTTAAAATATACACAAAGTTTATCTTGTCTTGTTTAGGAAAAAATAGAATTTTTAAGTATAAATAATGAAAAGGTAGTTTTGACACAGTAACTCAAAACTATGACTTAGAATTGACTGTTTAGGTGTCTTAGGCTGCAGTTTCAATAACAGCCACTAGATGCTGCTAGAAAATTTTACATAACTGTATTAATGTGAATGGGGAAACACCCAACTTTTCTCTGAAAATAAAGGTAAAGACCTTTCTGCACATGAATCGAGAGGAAAGCAATTTCACTGAGATGGATTTCTTTTGAGGATGTCATTATTAAGAAATTAAGACTTTAAGAACACTTGGAGGTGGGTTTGCTTTGATCTCAGCCTATCATAATCAAGTAAAGAGGTTCCTGCCATCAGAGGGTTTATGTCCCTCACCTTGGCCTGGAACCAAGTCTCCAGCTCTTTACGGTTCTTGGCGGCGACGGCCTCGTAGTGTTCTCTGATTCCAGCCATGACGACGGACAGATCCTCCTGCGGAGCGGCATCCACCTCCACGTTCACCTGACCTCCCACCTGGGAACGCATAGTCAGCAGGTCCTGCAGAAACAACCATCCACATCGAACAGTATTAGTCGATGATAATAACAATCAAAGAAACACTTCCATCTTTTTGTCACTTGCTTTTCTCTTTTTCACATCAATTTAAATGGGATCTGGACTAATTACCTAATCAAATGAGGATAATGGTTAACCAGGAATGAAGTTCACATTTATTTGCAACTGTAATCTAAGGTACTGAAGACATTTGATGTCTTCATGTTGATTCTACTTTCTGCATGCTGCAATTAAAATTTTTATTAACTAAAACCTGATTGAAAAGCTACAAAATCAGGAGTTAAACTGCTTTTGAACCTATTCAATCTCATTTTTGATGATTTTTAGATTGTTCTTCTCTTTAGAAAATCTGGAGAAATCCTTTTTACTAGTGAAGTTTGCAGAGTTTGAAGGTTTTCGAAACTTTCTTCTTTTATAAAGCAGCTTTGATAAATCCATCCTTAAAATGACATTGGTAAAAATACTTCATAATGAACACTGAAAAGCTAATGTTAACCATAGATGGTTTGCAATTTTGCGCCCACCTCCTCATGGTTCTTCTTCAGCTGGATGAGTTCCTCCCTCAGTGATTCAATCTGCATCTCCAAATCAGATCTTGACAGAGTCAGGTCATCCAGGACCTTCTTCAGGCCGGCAATGTCGGCCTCCACTGACTGACGCATGGCCAGCTCGTTCTCAAACCTGCACACCAAGCATCAATCAAATCAGCTGTTATATCCAAAACACAGTGACTTCAGAGAGACTGTTTTCAGCACAGCACTGGTTTGTAGTTCCAACACTTGAAACAACTAGGACCTCTTGTGGTCATATGAATTGTGACAGTGTCAGAAGAACCATGTCATTGTTAGAACAGCACACCTTAGGAGGGTGTGGATGGTTGTGTGACATCCCCCAAAGAGTAAGGATTTTAAATATTCCCCAACATTAATTAAGTAGTTTTAGTTGCCTAAATGTCACCTTAACCAGAGCAGCCAACTAATGCTGCCCAAACAAAGTTTATATAAGTTTAAAGCCTACAGTGAAAGCCCCTAAGTTCTGAGCTGTTGTGTTGGGACATTTTTTATTTGACCAAAAGAAGCATTTGTAATTTCTTCCTTTTTAATAATAAAAAACTATTAACAGTGCATTTGAAAAACACATCAACATTAGACTAAATGTGATGTCAGTTGGACAGATATGACACTTCACCATATAGTTGTATAACATACATCAGATCTAGAGCTATGTGCTCAAGTTCACGGTCAGTGTTCACACACTCACTTTACTCTGAAGTCATCAGCAGCCAGCTTGGCGTTATCAATCGCCAGGTAGAGAGATCCGTTGTTGCGGGTGGCATAAAGGATCTAAAACACAAGAAGTACAGAATTAGGCTGAATGTGTTTTTGTTTTCTAACTGTAACTAGTACTGAGACTCAAAGTATTTCAGCTGATACGGGAAAGAGAACAGCAGACACCGGATCCAGGTTTGTCCTATTTTGGACAAATAATAAATTATTTTTGGAGTTGTTAGTTACTGTCTGCCCTGTTCTGAGTTCTGATTTCCAGTTTCACATGAGTGTATAGATGGTGAATGCAATGAGAGTACAAAGTTTGTGAAGCAGCTACTCAATATTTAAAAACTATGCAAATATAAGTCAAATATCCCCTCATCATTTTAGTGGCCTTCTGTTCTTGTTCACACATCATGCAAAACAAGAATGATCTTGCTGCAGGTGGCCTTTGTGAGTTTTGGGTGTGGCTGCACCTGTATTGATTCTGCAGGAAACAGCACATAATTTCTGCCTAGCTGACTGCACACCTGAGTTTGGCTGCAGCTTTTGTGCTGAAGAATATTTATGAGTTCAGACCAACTGTGTTCACTTCTATTCTCACTTTTCTACCTTTGCTATAGTCTGACCTTATGATAAAGACAGACAGAACCTGGTCTCACCTGGTCCTGCAGGTCGCTGATGGTGGCATGGAATCTGACCCAGTCATGGCCCTCTGGTTTGGTCTTGTTCTCCAGGAACTGCCTGATCTTCAGCTCCAGCTCAGAGTTGGCCTGCTCCAGATTGCGCACCTTATCCAGGTAGGAGGCCAGGCGGTCATTCAGGTTCTGCATGGCCATTTTCTTGTTGTCTGAGATGTCGATGGCGTCGGCCAGGTTGAAGCCGCCATTGGCACCAGCACCGGCAGCAGAAAACCCTGCACCGGCAGAGGAGTAGCTTCTGGAAGCACTCGTGCTGGAGATGCGGACCCCGGAGCCTCCGGCGCCAGCGTACACGCTGGGGGCCCTCATGGAGCCGAGGCGGCTTCCACTGGAAAAGGTGACGGAGCGAGCATAGGAGGTCATTGTGGAGGTGTCTGCCTGCTCTGGATGGAGAGGAGAGAATGAAGGAGAGGAGAGGACTTAGCTCCTTTTATGCTACATGAAAGTGGGAGAGGGGTCCGGCCCCCGCTGCACGCCTCGGGGCAAGAGACAAGCAGGCACATGACAAATGACAAAAAGACAAACAGACCAATCACAGCACACATGTATACGCCCATCACACCCACAACCTATTTGTTCTGCTATCTGAAAATGTCTTTCAGGAGACTGAATCATGGCTTTTGCTCAGGTGTATCTCCTCCTCTGTACAAAATGCAGTTTGATCTAATCAGAGTTAAGAGTTTCGTACATTTCAAACATCTGAAGACCCTCGTCCCTCCTCTGTCTCACATCCACATGCATTCCTCTCTGCAAGTTCAAACCTGTCTGTTGTTTCTGAGCTGTGTGTGTTATTTAGAGCCTGCAGGTCCATGCACCGACCCCCACCCCCCTTCTTTTACTGTGCAAGCAAACAATGAAGTGCTTTGTTCCAGCTCTTCATTCAGGCTGTTTGCTGTGACAACACAGGACATGAAACACCGCTGTCATTTACTCTGGAGCTGGTTTATGGAGACAAATGTTACCTCATTTATAAATCTTCATCTAACCAGTCACATAAATGGTTTTGACATCAAACTTTCTTTATTCCTTTTTAAAAGAGCATTTGTAGATGTGGGGGATGGGTATTGTCATGTTCAAACAGGAGGGAGACACATAAACAGTACTGCTGTCTAAAGAATTGTTATATGTTGTAGAATTAAGATTTAATTTTGGTTCATTGCTACTAAAACCAAACCAGGAGACCCAGAACAACAGTAGACTCAGTTATTTCAACTGGGGTTTCCACATTTCTTTGGCCATATAACATAATACACCTTCATCTGTTTCAAAAACCTGAAAGAATCGTGTTTGTATTTGCAGCAGATAATGTGGGGTCAAATATAAAATACAGATTGTATTTTTTAATCATCTGCTGCTCTTCCTTTGTGAAAATAATCTGCCACAACCAACACGTGATCGTCAGTGCCCTATTTTGAAACAGATCCAGATACAAGTGCATTTTTGACACGTTTTCTACTATTAAAACAAAAGATTTTGAGTAACATGTGTGAAGGACCCTTGGGGGCGTTGCCATGTTGAAACAGGAAAGGGACAAGCACGAACTGTTGATGCAAAGTATTGTGTAACATTAGCCTCTTGAACTGAGAGCTCAAACCAGGAAGACACGTATAGATCAACTTTAGCTCAACACGAAAGACATTTAGAGAATTAACAGGAAAGAAGGAAAAAGAAAACAGTTTTAGGAAAATTCATAGTGTTTACTCCAAGAGAATTGTACTCTAGAAATGCTTTGTATCTTATTTCTGGTGGAGATGTATTATGAAAATCTATTTTCAATTTATTATTTCAGAGTCACTGCAAAACTCAGCCGTGCATCTTGGTGACATAGTGCAGTGGTGGATAAAGTACCAATACCATAATATCTAAGTAAAAGTCATTAATTTAAAATCGTATTTATTTTAAAAGTAAAAGTACAAAAGTATTATAATCAAAATGTGCTGAAAGTATCAAATGTAAAAGTATATTTGTTCTGCAAATGACATATTTTAATATTACATTATTGGATACACATATACATTATACAACAGTGGAATTTAACAATTTAATCCAGTGGTTTCCAACCTAGGGGTCTGGCCCCTCCAAAGACACTAAATTCTTATACACTTTTAAAGCTATTTGACTTCTGGACAATTTGGTCAGCAAGCTAGTTAGCTCAGTTGCTAAATTTGCAATAAGTTTCAAGAGACGTATTTTAAACCATCGATTCCTGTCTCATCACTACCTACAAAACCCTTTTGTGCAGCAGTTTGACTTAAACTGAGGAGGATGTTCATAGAAACCTCCAGAAGACGGCTCGCTCTTTATAATTAGTTTATTTGATGTGATATTTAATATTTGTTGTGAGCATTTGATGATTCAACATATTTGGTTTATTTAGACCAGTTTTTTTTCTATTCTACTTATTTGTTTGACTTGCTAAGTCCTTCTAGTTGTTGGTTAGTTTATTTAGGTTAATTCAAGTAGAACTTTCTGGAAATGTATGCAGTGTATTTAAATCTTTGAGTAAATGTTCTTAAGTTTCTTTGCTGTAGATTTACCAATAGACTGCATATGACAAGTTTTCTAAGGTTGGGAATAATGCGTGTTTCACCGGCTGCCTCACAAAGTACAAAGTGTCTGTGTGTTTTTATGAGCTGCTGTTTCATCTGGCACACACATCACAGGCAAATTTTCAATGGCCGTTGCCATGGTGACCTAGCTTCCTTTTTAATGTTGATGTACTAGTAAATGAGCCCAAGGCGGCTGTAAAGTGGAAGATTAACTCCCACTGACTGCAGGTTTATAGATGAAGGAAACAGAGCCAAGGTTAGCACAGTCAGACTGCATACAATGAAGAGATTATTATAAGAATATTATAACAAAAGCATTTGACAACAGGTGATTAAAGAGGATAATAAAAGTTTCTATGTTACACAATCTATGTTTACAATTAAAGTTGTTTCTTTTTCGTGTGAAAATCATGAAATTTTCAACTTTTCATCCTTCAAAAACATTTCTCCACATGAAATCTAAGAAGGAAAAATGTTCACACTAAGGCCATAAATTTGACGGGGGGTCACAAGTACATATTGTCTCATTTTAAGGGGTCATGAGGACAAAAAGGGTTGAGAACCACTGCTGAACATTTGGAAAAACGGATATCATTTTGTGCTGCAGTACAGAAAATGTGTTGTGTCCACCAACATTCATTTCTGAATGCATCTGACGTGAGAAAGGAATTGCTTCTGAATGAAACAGCTATTGATGACATTTGGAGGCACCGGGACATAATTTCAGCTTTGCATTATTTTTAATTGCCTGGTTTGATTGGCTGCCTCCTGAAATGTTTTACATGTTCTCTACGTGAAGAATCATTTAAAAAATATCCACAGAGGCTCATTAGACTTTTTATTGTTGCTTCAGTTTGTAACTGTAAATTATTCCTCACCCTCCTAACCTTTTAGTACAGCAGCTGCAGGTGGCCACTAGAGAAACAACAACTTAAGACTACAGTTGACCCCGAATAGCCCACTGTGATAGTGCCATCTGCTGGTGCTCAGATGGTTTGAGTGATGGTCTCTTGGGAGGAGCTCACCACCTTTCCATCCACCACTTGCTCCACGATGGTGATTACTTTCTGTTTGGTGGAGGTGGAGGAGATGGCCAAACTGCAGGGGGGAGACAAAAATCACATTCAGATTTTAATTCATCTCACATTAATAAAATATTTAGTCACAGATGGGTTTGATATGTTGTCTCTGGTGTCTCTGTTGTCATGGAGGAAAAGTATCAGGAGTTTAGTTACTTTAGGCTCAAATAAGGGTCAATAAGAATTTCAATAAAAGGTCAATAAAAATAATATTTGAGCACTACTTGTATCAAGGCTGATTTAAGACTGAGAACAAGTTGGTTTTACATTTAAGGTACAAGTACACATTTCAGCCATGCTTTTAGAGGCAAAATTCAAAAAGTTTTACATTTCACAAAATATGATGGTTTGAGCAAAGTAATGTATTTTGTAGGTAATAAAACCCAGGACTGAACCCCCAGGAGATCTGGCTTCTTCTAACATAAAGTAAGATGTGATATCAGCGCATAATATCCTGTAAACAACCCTTTAATTCTCAGATAACTAAAGCTCGCTCACCTGCTGCTGGCCTCTGCGTCCAGCAGCCTCCTGTACTCGGCAATCTCCATCTCCAGCCTGGTCTTGATGTCCAGCAGCATCTGGTACTCCTGGGACTGCCTCTCCAGCTCGGCCTTCAGCTGCGTCAGCTGATCCTCCAGCATGGTCACCTGGTTCTGGTAACCCGCCAGCTGCATGGTGTACCGGTTCTGAGTCTCATACAGGGTGGCCTCCAACGACGCTTTCTGCAGGAGAGAGGAGCTGGATCAGTTTAATTATTACCTCACTAAGACACTGGACATAAAAGATGTGATGAGACGTGATGTTCACCATGCTGAACTGGGACTGCAGCTCGATCTCCAGGCTCTGCAGCGTTCGTTTGAGATCTGTGATCTCAGATTTGGACGACTGGAGGGTTTCTGTGCTGATAGCGACTTCTTTGTGAAGGTCTTCTGTCTGTAGAGGAAACAGCACGTTATTAACATGTTGACCTGATGATGGCGCTAGATGAAAAGTCTGAGGATCATCAAAGTTATTCCAGTTCATCCTGAGGGGAGCATGAAGGTCTGAACCACATTTCATCACAATGTTTCAGTCTGAACTACAGGGGTGGACGGACAGACGTGAGTCCAAGAGTCTCTAGCGTGGCTAAAATCAGGTCCTTACCTTTGCATTGAACCACGCCTCCAGCTCTTTGCGGCTTTTGGAAACAGTGGCTTCGTAGTGCTTCCTGACCTCCTCTATGACCTTATTGAGGTCCTCTGCTGGAGCCGCATCCACCTCCACGTTCACCTGACCGCCCATCTGAGCTCGCATCGCCAGCAGCTCCTACAAGGTGACAGTGTTTAATGTCATTTAGCCATTTTATTTACCCCAAAACTCTTTTAGACCTGAAAGCCCACTGACCTCCTGGTGGTTCTTCTTGAGATAGACTAGCTCTTCCTTCAGTCCCTCGAGCTGCATCTCCAGGTCGGTCCGGCTCAGAGTCAGCTCCTCAAGGACCTTCCTCAACCCAGCGATGTCAGCCTCCACTGACTGACGCATGACCAGCTCGTTCTCGAACCTGAAAAACACGACAATAAGTTTCAGAAAACTCACCTGAATGTTGACATGACTGGGAAGAATGAGATCAAAATAAGACATCCGGAATAGAATTATTTCATGTTTTGCCCTTGACGAATGATTTGATGTTGGAGGAACAAAGTCTCACACTCACCTGACTTTGAAGTCATTGGAGGCCAAGTTGGCATTGTCGATGGCGAGGACGAGGGCGGCATTTCCACGAGAAGCGAATAGGATCTGAGCAGGAACGCAAGGGGAGAAACTGTGTGAACAACTGGCGGTTTGGCAAAAACGCAACATAAAGGTAACGGACAACCCATCTGCTTGGTAGCATGTTACCACCCCCCACCCCCCAAACAGGTTTCTCTACTTCAAACCCTTCGTCTCTCATCATCTGGAAGTGTTATTTTGCAAGTCAGCACATATTTACTAAATTTATTTACATAGTAACAGTCAGGTGTTGGTACATGCTGTTAAAAAGGTCTAAACTAATATTTGCTTATTGTTGAGCTCTAAAAGTCTTTGGAAATCATAAAATGATTTTTATTAATTATGAATTTAACATTTTGGCGTCTACTCTGTCAGGTCTGCTTCTGTTGGTGGTAGAGAACACTAATTACTTACTATTAACTAAAAACAGTCAATGATTTCTTTGTCTAAATAGTGTCACAATCAACTACTAAAACAACTAATTAAACTAAACTAATTAATTCACTTCCCTCTGTGTTAATTTTTTTTGTTGGGAGATGAGTTAAGAAGCACATCTGGATTTTGTTTAATCTCATCCGCACATTCCTTTTTTGTGTGTGTGTTTTCCTTTCAACTCTTACTTTAAACTGTAACCCAGTTTTTTTTATATATTACAAAGACATTTACAGGATACAGTCATATTTTATTCATATTTTGGTCAAATAATTTGATTGGTCGAACATGTTGAGGTGTGCCTACAAACACATGCTGCCTTAGAGGCTAAATTCAGGGTAAAGTGGTCCCACTAGAATCTGTTCTTTTCTGTACAAACTGCAGATTTTCCGTCTTCTTGTTCTCACCTGGTCCTGCAGGTCTTTGATCTGGACGTTGAAGCTGCTGAAGTTGTGAGCCTCCGGCGCAGCTTTGCTCTCCAGGAACTTTCTGATCTTCAGCTCCAGCTCGGCGTTGGCCTTCTCCAGGCTGCGCACCTTCTCCAGGTAGGTGGCCAGGCGGGTGTTGAGGTTCTGCATGGTGGCCTTCTCGCTGACAGAGACGTCCATGGCGTCGCTCAGCTTGAAGGCACCGCCAGCACCAGTACCAGCACTGGAGGAGGAGGCGGAAGATGAGAAGGAGGCCTTGGAGATACGGACTCCAGATCCTCCGGCTCCACCGTACACGCTGCCGGCCCTCATGCTCCCCAGGCGGGACGAGGAGGACACGGAGGGGGCCATCATGACGGAGCTCCTCACGGGGCAGGACATGTAGCTGCTGTTGGAGAAGGTGGTCATGGCTGAGGGTCGGCGAGTCGTCGGATTGGGCAGAGAATGAAGAGCAGCTGGGATGTTGCCTGCTAATATGCCTCAAAATGAGGCTGGGGTGGTGGGTCAGGTTGGGATGCTAAACAGGCTAGAGGGTGTCATTGCGGCCTCGGGGCCAGGAGAGCAAACAGTTCAGAGCTGCAGGTGAACTCCAGCAGGTCGGGTGGGTTTAAACAGCTGCTATCTCAGGGGCTTAACAGCTCTTTGCACCTGGTGGTCCGGTCCTGTCAATCCTCACAGAACCCTGAGGAACTGACATCCAGTCAGACCACAAACACCTCACAGCTCCCAGATCTGTCCACAGGGAGATTAAGCTGAAGTTTGAAACCTGAAGTTAAAATGTTCCTTCATGGTTATAGAAAATGCTGCTTTGAGCACTTAAAGCAAAGAGTGATTTGTAAATTTTTTTTCTTTTTTTCTTTTTTTCTTTTTTCTTTTTTCTTTTTTTTACATATATTTAGTATAAAGATTACATAAATAAAAATGTGAAACCATCCAGTGTTTCACTGGAGAACAGCACAGATAAAAGAAATATTTGAAAAATGTTTCAGAACATGATTTTAAGTTGCAAAAATGTATTTTTCCCTGATAAACCACCACAACAACGACAATTACCAACAAACACACTAGATTCCTAGGAGACACATTTAATAAACATAAATCATGAAATAACATTTGTATTTCAAACAAACTTATTAGCACATTTTGATAAGAGCGTTTTACCTGCTGGACTTTGCCAACATGTTTAGATTTTGTTGATTTGGTGATTAGTGCTTGCTTTTTGTGCTTCTACTATGATTAAGTAGGCTACGTAGTAAAAAAAAAAATTTTTTTGTCTCATTTAACTGTGTTTAATGTTGATATATTATCAGAAGTCTGTAACAAGTATTTTAATTTGAAAATTGACCAGACTCTGTGGACTTTTGGAGTGAGTCTGGGGTCATGTAAACTTGGTTAATATGTCTTTGTAGCAGGTGGGCCCACGATGAAGCTCCGTCCCCACTGTGCTGACAGTCTAGCTCCGCCACCGCTGCTCATATTTATCTTACTAGCCAATAATGAGTGTGCTTTGTATTATTAAAACTATTTAAGTCTCATTAATGTTATTAAACATCGTATTAATGTTTATGACAGGTATATAAACCATTAACAAGTTTATAATAAGAGCCTAAAAGTTTCTTATAAGCAATAATAAATGTGTTAATTGTGATTTAATTAACACTTATATGGACTTGCTTATGTTTTTAGTTCTGCCAGTCTCGGGACAAACATTCCACCCCATACACAATCAATAGAAAGTCAGAAAAGAACTCATAATTACATAAAACTTGACTTGCGATTGTTTAAAAATTTGTGAGGAAGTTCCAAAGGTTAGAATGTTTTCTTTGAAATTATTTCTTTTACTTTGAATTTTAGAATGTCATGACATCATCAAAGGCATTGGACCTTTGATGATGTAAGATGATGAAATCTGGTCTGCAGGCTCATAAGACCCAAGTGTTGGTTTAGTTGCAGTTTTCCTCAGAAGATCTCTTCCTGCTAACACGACAGCACTGATAAAAAAAAGCTTGTGGCTAAAAAAATCATCGGTTACCCTCTGGCCTCCCTGGTAAAAATAGTTCCCTCTTATATATATATATCACCACCTGTTCAATCGCCCGCCCTCTGGTAGACGGTACAGGTGAATCAAGAGTTGGACATTACTATACTTAAGAACGGTTTCTTTCCCGGGCAATCAGAACTCTTAATTCCACAAACTTCAAGAACATTTGAAGATACAATGCCTAAAATAAGCAGACACAAGATCATGCATCAGCCCATAATGGAGCTGCTTCGTCCAATTGTCCAATTTCACCTGTTCAAGCTGGCGTCGGATGACTGTACCATGGTGCCATTCGAGTGCATTACAAAGGCCACAAAAAATATCCTACAGGACATGTGTGTGGAGATTATGAACACTGTATCTGTTCATGTTTATAAGGAATTCCAACAAAGTCTGGCCCAGAAGAGTGACTTGCATTTGACTCAAAGCCCTTCCACATCAGGCAGAAGGGCTTCTGTTTGTGATGCGGTAGGGGGGGAATCTTAATATCCCAAAATCTGGGTCAGATCGTTCCACTGATTCTTATGGACGTCATGGGTATTAAAGATGCAATTAGGGTATGTAACAGCCCTTACGCAAAGAATCTAACAATGATCGTGGTGAGTGAAATAAAGGAAAGGATAGATGCGGAGCTCATAGGTTGTGGGAGCGGCAGTGACAGTACTGGGGAGAGCAAACTGCTGGGGCTTAAGTCTATCATGCAGGAACAGACATTAGAGCTACTAGCTAGAGATATCTTCAATGTTCTTCAAACATGTAAACAAATTATCTCTACGCCGACCCCAAATTGTAGCATGACTGGTCACCAAAGATCAAAACAAAAACTGAATGAAAAATTGAAGACAGAGCAGGACCAGGAGCTGTCTAAGGAGGAGGTATGGTATGACACCTTTACTGACCTGAAAGAGGATGAACCGGAAAAAGTTTCATCTGGGGAAAACCTTGTGGTTACATCCACCAACGCTGTAACGAGCATTGAGGGGAAAGTGGCCGATGAGGAACACAATCTGAATAAGCCCAGCCCCTCCAAGGATGCAGTCAAGGCAGCTGAACCTGATGAAAGTGCTTGTCACAACACCGCAACTACCAGCGCTACTAAGATTGTTTCCCAGGAAGATGCAATCACTGATGAGCCCGCTATGAATGAAAAAGATGATGTAGCCGCTTGTAGGCCAACAGCAACTACCAGCGCTACTAAGATCGTCTCCCAGGAAGATGCAATCACTGATGAGCCCGTTATGAATGAAAACAATGATGATGATGTAGTTGCTTTTCAGACAACTGTACACCCAGTCCAAGAGGGGGACAAACTTGGACACCTGGTGACACCAAAAAAGAGGAGCTGTGTTACCCAGTTCTTCAGATCTGTTTTCAAGCCATTCTCAGCCTGCCTTAGCTGTGTATGCCTAGACTAATCATGGGCAACAACTAGTAGTGAAAAAGAGCTTCGAGTGTTTGGAAGACTAGGAAGGCACTGTATGAGAACAGAACATTTTAGCAAATTCATTGTGGCTGTGCAGTGAGTAAACCTCACTGCCCGACAACTTAAGAGACACACTGGCGACCGACGCCTCTGCCCATGGGTTTTAGCCTCCTCGTCAGCGTTTCCATCTCCCGTATCAGAGGTCACCGGTTCAAGTCAGGGCTTTGCAGTACGTTCTCGGAAGCACCTGGTTACATTGGTGCCGTTACCTGGACGGGAGTGAGGTTTAGGGGGGTGAGTGTGACAGAAGCCAGCAAAGCTGTGCAGTGAGTAGACCTCACTCCCCGACACCTTGAGAGACACACTGGGGACCAAGGCTAGTGCCCATGGATATAAACCTCCTCGTCAGCGTGTCCACCTCCCGTATCAGAGGTCACCGGTTCGAGTCAGGACTCTGCAGCCTGGACACCTCTTCCTCTAGTGAGGAGGAACCTTTGATATGTTGCGGCAGAAACTTGTTTCCATGACATGAGATCTCTCTCTCTTTCTCTCTTTCTCACCCATTGCCATGAATTGTTGTTGTTTAGGTTGCAATGTTTCCAGAGCACAAATTCAATAAAAAATAATTAAAAAATAATTAATAATGTGATAATGAAGTTACTTTATACAAACAACAATGGTTCTCCGTTTGTTGCATGAGGAAATACATTTAGCTGCAATGATATAGCTCTAAGTAGGAGAGTACTGATCATTTATTTTTCCCATGTATGTATCCTAAAGTGTTATGGTTTTATATACATGACTGACTTTACCCAAATCTCTTTTCTCTGAAGGACATCATCTATGGTTCTGTCATGGACAACAGCAAAGATGACTTTCTGAATAATAACCTTGTCATTCTTGGGAAATTTTAGATTCACAAATCAAAGTTTTTGAAAGTGAATCCTATGTTTTGTGTATTTCACAATGAGTTTCTTTTGTATACAAAAGCCCTTAATGTCATGGAAATGAAAAACGCATTGAACATTTTTAGTATAATAGCAGAATTTGATTTGCATAAATGGCCCTAGCCTTTGCTCCTTTAAAAAAATGAATTAATAACTTAATAACTTGCATTTTGGACTGTGAGCTGCACATTATCAGAGCTTCTGAAGTGAATGTGTGTGTGGCTTTGCGGTGAGATTCCTGCCTGATCACAAGTGCTGTCAATTAGTTTTGTTTTCCCCTGACATGAGCACCTCCTCGTCTCATCCAGCTTTGTGTCTGTCACAAGAACTACCAGCGAAGCAAAATTCTCATTAAATGGTGACATTTGTCTCATAATATTACAACTTTTTTTCTTTAAATGTCAGAGAACACAGAAATGTGGGAGTGATTCTGATTGTGCAGAATGTTTTGAACATGAGCAGAAAACCTTCTAAAAAAGCTTTTCAAGTCCAGTCAACAACTGATTTAAAATGAATAAATTTATCGCTGATATGAAAAGGAGCCACAATGACACTTAAAGAAGTTACTTCCCCAAACACAAAAGAGGAGGGAGACTCAACAGGAATCATATTAAATAAGTTGATCTACAGGAGAAACTCACTAGATCACATTTGATCGATATTTTGAATTGTCACCTGCCATCTCAATTTTGTGTTTCGCTTTATATAATTAATTAATACATTTTTTGGGGCGCTGGCCCTAAAAAGGTTGAGAACACTGTCTTAGTGTGATATCGTCTTTCAATAATAAAACAGTAACTTTTTTCTATTTCTTCTATTATTAAATTTTTTTTATAAACATAATAAACTTAATAAAACAATGTTTCTACTTTAGTTCCAGTAGCTGTAAAGGATCATTGTTAATGTTTAATAAGTGCATAATAAAGGAGTTATTAGGCTTTATGAGGCATTAATATAAAGCTGTTATAGTCTGATTACTGTCGCTAAACATTTATTTACAAGTGGTCTATAAACTGCTGACACATTTACTGCTCATCATAAGCGGAGATAGCGTGGGTACATGGGGGCAGCCGACCCAGGGCTCACTACTTGAACTATGAAGTTTAGCTCTGCTGATTATGGTGGACACAAAC